TTTTTTTTTTTTTTTTTTTTTTTTTTTTTTTTTTAATTTTTTTTTTTCAACGTTTATTTATCTTTGGGACAGAGAGAGACAGAGCATGAATGGGGGAGGGGCAGAGAGAGAGGGAGACACAGAATCGGAAACAGGCTCCAGGCTCTGAGCCATCAGCCCAGAGCCCGACGTGGGGCTCGAACTCACGGACCGCAAGATCGTGACCTGGCTGAAGTCGGACGCTTAACCGACTGCGCCACCCAGGCGCCCCATGTATTTTCAAATTGATAGCATATTTTCTTTAATCACTGAGTAATCTTGCTTGTATGAATGTACCAAAATTTGTTTATTCATTTTCCTTTGTAAAGACATCTTGATTACAGGTTTGGGCATTTATGCATAAACATGCTGTACATCCAAGTGGCGTTATTGTGTGAACGTATTTTCTCAGCTCGTTTGTGTATATGCCAAGAAGCATGATTCCCGCATTCCATGGTCACAGTATATTAGGTTTATGAGAAACTGCCAAGCTGCACTCCGGAAGTGCTGTGCTATTACTATTTTCCACAAGCAAGAATAAGAGTTTTTGTTTCCAGGCATTGATGATGTCATTATTTTCGATTTTAGCCATTCAAGTAGATACATAATGGAATGTAATTTTTAAAATTTTGTTGTTTTTTATCTCATTTTTCTTTTTTTTTAATGTGTTTCTTTTATTTTAAGATAGAGATAGAGCATAAGTGGGGATGAGGCAGAGAGAGAGGGATACACAGACTCAGAAGCAGGCACCAGGCTCTGAGCTGTCAGCACAGAGCCCGATGCGGGGCTGATACTCATGAACTGTGAGATCACGACCTGAGCCGAAGTTGGACACTCAACTGACTGAGCCACCCAGGCGCCCCATCTCATTTTTCTAATGACAAATGTTGAGCTTTTTTTCATATTTCCCTAACTTTGTCTTTTATGGAGAAGACTTTTTTTTTTTTTTTTTTTTTTTTTTTTTTTTTTGAGAGGGAGGGAGAGAGAGGGAGCGCACTAGCAGGGTAGGGTGGAGGGAGAGAGAATCTTAAACCGGCTCCACACACAGTACGGAGCCTGAAGCCAGGCTCCATTGAGGTCCATCTGATGACCCTGGGATCGCCACCTCAGCCGAAATCAAGAGTTGGATGTTCAACCAATTGAGCCACCCAGGCGCCCCATGAAGACATTTTTTTTAATCAACTGCAGCTTATCCCATTTTTCTTAATAAATTGTGATTTTGATGTCGTATCTCAAAATTTACCACCAAGCATAAGGTCACGTGTTTTCTCCTATGGTATCTTCTAGTGGTCAGAAAGTTTTGTATTTTAAACTTAGATCTATAACCCATTTTGAGTGAAATTTTGTGAAAAGTGAAAGTTCTGTATATGGATTCATTGTTTTTACTTGTGGCTTTTCACTTCTAGCACCACACTTTGAAAAGATTATCCTTTCTCCATGGAGTTGTCCTTGCTTCTTTGTCAGAGATAGGTGGATGGTATTTGTGTTGACCTATTTCTGGGCTCTGAGTTTCAATTTTTGCATCTGTTGAGATGATCATGTATGTGGTGTTTTTTTTTTGTGTGTGTGTGTGTGTCTCTTATTCTCTTCATATGGTGTATTCCATTAATTTTAATTTTCAGATGTTAAATCAACCCATCTTGCATTCCCCAGACAAATCCCACTTGCTCATGATGTAATATTCTCAAGATATGCAGCAAAATCAGATTTTCTGATAATTTTCATACATTTTTTTAATGTTTATTTATTTTGAGAGAGAAAGAGAATGTATGAGCAGGGAAGGATTAGAGAGAGAGGGAGAGAATCCCAAGCAGTCTCCAAGCCCAGCATGGAGCCTAGTGCAGGGCCTAATCTCATGACTGTGAGAGCATGACCTGAGCCGAAATGAAGAGTCAGATGCTTAACCTACTGAGCCACCCAGATGCCCTTTTCTGATAATTTTCATGTATCTGATATCTTTATAGATAAGGGTTAATTGGTCTGTAGTTTTCTTGTGTTGTCTCTATCTCACTTTGAGATCAAAAGAATCTTAACCTCATAGAATGAGTTGGGAAATGTTTCTTCTTTATTTTCTGGAAGGATTTGTGAAGACTAGTGGCATTTCTTGTTTTAAATGGTAGAATTCCCTACTGAAGGCATCTGGGCTTGGGATTTCCTTGTGGGAAGATTTTCAGTTACTATTACCCGTAGTTCTCTTTAGATTTTCCTCTTATGTCATATTTAATCATCTTTTAAGGAATTTGTACATTTCCTGTAAATTGTTTAAATTTGATGGGTAAAGTTGCCCATGATATTTCCTTATGATGTTCTTAATCTCTGCAGGGTCAGTAACCATATTTCCCCTTCATACCTGGTTTCCTTAGTTGCTCTTATGTTCTTGACCTACCTAAAGTTATCAATTTCAATAATTTTTTGAAAGAACCAGCTTTTTATTTTCATCAATTTTTATAGTGTTTTTTTCTTTTTTTTTTTTTAATTAAAAAAGCTTTTTTTTAAGTGTTTATTTTTGAGAGAGAGAGACAGAGTGGGAGTAGGAGACGGGTAGAGAGAGAGGGAGACACAGAATCCGAAGCAGGCTCCAGGCTCTGAGCCGTCAGCACAGAGCCCAACCCGGGGCTCCAACTCACAAACCATGAGATCATGACCTGAGCCGAAGTCGGACGCTTAACTGACTGAGCCACCCAGGTGCCCCTCTAGTGTTTTTCTTTTTTCTATTCCAGTGAGTTTTGTTCTAATCTTTATAAATAATATCTGTGTGTTTACCATCTCCTGCTTTTGGGAGAAAGTTAGAGGCACACAGAAGAGGGGGAATGCTCTGTAATGGAAAAAAGGTAAGGTTTCAGGAGTGCCCTGGTTGTAGGATGCTGGTGTGAGGGTGCAGTGGCAGGGTGGGGGTGGGTAAGTAGAAGTGGGGATCCTGTGTGATTTGTTAAGTGTACATATTTGACTTTCTCTGGTTGCTCTTAAGTGGGAAGTTTGAGCAAAAATTACAGAAGGTGCTAGTAACTAATCAAGTTCCTAACTACTGACTTTTTTAGTAACGTATTATAAAAACCTGAATACAGATATTTAGGGTGTCCTGACAAAATCAGTATAGGAATCAAGACCAAATCATTAAACACAGGACATGTCTTTGAATTGCGCCAGGGTCTTTATTTATAAAGGTGACTGAGTGCAACGTGGAGAGGTCGATGCCATTGGAAGGCAAGTTGTGCTACTCAACAGTCTCCTGTGTTGTGACTGGTAGATTAACATTTATTAAGTACCGCACAGGGTGCTGAATGGTGGGGTCATTACAAGGGCCTTTAGGAAGTCCTGTCAGGAACTTACATTTGCTTGTGACTCTTCAGGCTGTAATCTAGGGCATGTACTTCCATGAGGAAGTGGATGTCAGTGTAAAGTCCCCTGCAGGCCGCTTGGCCGAACAAAATGGATGCTGAGACAATGACACCAGGAAGTAGCTTAGCTACACTCTACATACCCAGAAATAAGAGGCCTGGCACACCTCGGAGGTCTGCACAAAACCATGTCACCTGCAGGAAGGATAGGGCGGGAGGGAGCACTGAGATTATGCCTTTATGACTGATGTCAGGTGGGGACATGCTTTGTGGGGCAGGAAGCAGAAACACACATTAGGGCTGGTTCTTGAGCTGTTTGTAATAGGAGCTCTGCAAGCCTGTAAAACTGACTAGGAAGAGAGGAGTACACACCTTTGTTAGTTTGGCCTTCAGATGAACGCTAAAGGGACAAATGGAGAAAAACAGAACAGTTGGGATACAGAGAGCGGCTGGCAGCTCTCTCCCCGATGTGTCCCGTGCACCTACTGGAGAGCCTGAAACCCAGTGGGTGCATACTGTGCATCTCAGATACGTAAATACACCCCCCACAGCACAGTTTCCCTGTTCATTTTCACCATCTAGGTCAGCCTTTCAAAATAGTGTGTCTCTCTCTCTCTCCAAGCAGTTAATAGTTAATAGCCTCGTTTTCAAGTATAAAAAAGACAAAAACCTGAGTGTGGCCAGATTCAAGCAGAGCCATAAGCGTAGCTTCATTCTCTGGCTTTTCAGATTTCACGTTCTGGCAAACTTCCTTAAGATCTCAATTTTCCTTTTTTTTTTTTTTTTTTTTTTTTTTTTTTTTTTAATGTGAACAAGTTATGTCTCCTCAGCTGTATTTCTGCTACTCTCTTTGAATAACTGATCATTATTAATACCTTTCAGTAATTTCCGTTTCACAAGTGTTTTTCACAGATGATTTCGACGTCCTGTAAGGACACCAGTGGTAGAATTTCAGGTGAAATGAGAATCACTTCTCAGCAAGGACAGGAGAGTGGATCCATCACCTTTGTAGGACAGGCTGCTCCTTTCTTACGGGTGCCTCGACTTACGGAAGGGGCCACACTGTCCTAGCAGAAGATGGCGTGTATTAAGTTACTATTCTTTCCAGATTTCAGATTCTTAATTTGAAATTGAAAAATGTCTCAGAAGCAGTAGTATTTGAAGAACTGTGTTACTCACTGGGTTCAAACACAATCAGTGACTGACTGCACAGGCAGGAAAGAGGTTTTTTCAGGAAACCGAGGCAGAGCTTGGCCCTTTCTCCCCACCTGGGCGCTGCCCCATCATGCTGCCCCCACCTTCCCCTCCATGGCTCTGTCCGAAGCCTTTTCTTTCTTGTCCTGGGACAAATACAAGGCTCATTAAAACAGACTCCAGAGATTCAGCCTGTATTTGAAAAGCGACGAGGTAGTTGGCAGCGCTGAGTGGACCCGTTGTCCTGATGTGGTGTGTCCCTTTGCATTGTAGCTTTTGGGAACCTCCCTTGCATCGTAGCATATGAAGTATCAGGTCCCTAACCTTTCTGTGACTGCTGGACTGTGCGCCGAGAAATCTGGGTCCGTCCCCTTTAAAAGCAGGCGAAGACACCTTCCCCCCCGCCCCTCCTTCGGAGCAGCGGAACTCCATTTCCCAGCGCCCCCCACTAGCCTCCGGCACTTCGTCCGCTAGCAGGGAGGAGGGCGTTAGTCTGCGCGGTGGGAGTTGGTGGTGGCGGCGGATAACCACATTACCCATAAGTCTGCGGTGCGCGTCGGCGGCGGCTGAGCCAATGAAGACACGAGAGGGTGACGTTGGCATGCGTGCGCACTGGGTGGGGGGCGAGACTTCCGGCGCCCACTCTCCGTGTCGTTTTAGTTGGTCTCGGTTTCACGGGTTCAGGGCTTCTCAGGCGGTTGGTTGGCGCAGAGGTGACGGAGTGGGAGAGCGCGGAGAGAGTCGCTGTCCTCATCGCTGAGGCGGCTGCGAGGCGCCCTCGCCCTGCCCGGTGCCGATCCCAGCCCGGCTCTTCCCCACTGGTCGGAGGCGCAGGCCGCGCCGGTGAAGCCGGCGCAGGTGGTGCTCGCGACCCCGCGCCTCGTCAGCCGCTCCTGCCCCCCTCCTCTCCCGCCCAGCCGCTCCCCAGCAGTCAGGTCTCCGGGGGGGAGCGAGGGCGTCCGTTGAGGTTGCAGTCCCACCATGGTGGGGCGTAGGGAGACTGGAGGTCCGAGTCGGGGTGGGGCTCAGGGGGGCTGGTGTCAGCCACCTGACAGGGGGCAGCAGGTGTGGCGCGAGCTGGACTCTTCCGGGTCAACCAGGGTCGGGTGGGGTGGAGGTGCCGCCAGAGATGAGCCTGAGATATTAGGCAGGATGAGGACCCAGGGAGGCTGCTGAGGAACCACCGCAGTAGATGGTGGAGGTTTGAGTCGTGGCGGTGGCGCGGGAGATGAGAGGAGAGATTCTGCAGAGAATCGGGCAACAGAGCCGACGGGTTTCCTGCTACCGTCGCCCTGTAGCGTGAGCACAAGTGGGGAGTGACAGGACCATCAGGGCTTCCTGCCTGAACGTCCTGAGAGAACGAGGTGAGAGCCTTCGAAGTGCCGCAGGCGGTATATACAGGACGATGATGAGTCTCAGCTCTTGGACATGTGATGCGAGATATCTGGAGGTGAGGGACATGACCGGGTCTGTGAGCATAGAGTCCGAGATCGAAGGGAGCTGGGCTGGAGCTGCCCGGGGTGTGGAGGGTGTGCACTGCTCCAGAGCCTGGCCTGAGGACCCGACCAAGGAGGGAGTCTTAAAGTGATTTCAGATGATGAGGGAGTTGAGGGCTGAGAGTTGGCGGGTAGGGCATGGGAAGCAGGCGTTGGCATCCCTGATGCTTCCTCCGGAAAAGAGATTTGCTGTAGGAGAGATCCTTCTGCATCTCTAGGAAGGGAGGCCTTGGTGGGGTGAGGAACTGCCCTTCGGTGGGGCAGTGTGTGTACTCTACACCTGTGGGCTCAGCCGACCCTCAGGACCACTCTCTGTGGAGCAAGGGAAATGTCCTCCAGGCTGATGGAGTGGCGAGGTCCCACACAGGGCATGCTTGTCACCCCTACCCCTCAGGGCCAGTGGGATGAGCCGCTGTCCGGTCCAGGGCCTCCAACAAGCCCCCTTCTGAGGATTAAGTAGCAGCAGTTCTTGTCGCTGTGTGGACCAGCAGCTTGTCTGCGTACCCAGCCTTTTCCTACAGCTGGCCAACGTAAGAATGTATAAAAAATTTGTTGTTGTGGGGCGGCTGGGTGGCGCAGTCGGTTAAGCGTCCGACTTCAGCCAGGTCACGATCTCGCGGTCCGTGAGTTCGAGCCCCGCATCCGGCTCTGGGCTGATGGCTCGGAGCCTGGAGCCTGTTTCCGATTCTGTGTCTCCCTCTCACTCTGCCCCTCCCCCGTTCATGCTCTGTCTCTCTCTGTCCCAAAAATAAATAAAAAACGTTGAAAAAAAAATTAAAAAAAAAAATTTGGTGACTTAAGCACTAATTAATATTCTTCTAAATATGTATGGGGCACTTGGGTGGCTCAGTCGGTTAAGCATCCAACTTCGGCTCACGTCATGATCTCGCGGTTTGTAAGTTCCAGCACCCTGTCGGGCCAGCTCGGACCCTGCAGCCTGCTTTGGATTGTGTCTCACTCTCTCTCCTCCCCTCCCCTGCTCACTCTCTCTCTCTGTCTCTAAATAAAACATTAAAAAAATTCTTCTAAATATGTATACATGGGTAGATAATTAGAAATGAACCTATTTAACAAGTTAAACTTATGCAAACACTTTGTAATTTATTTGAGATTAATTTTAATCTGTTTACAATATAAAGTTTGATGTACATTTCCTGAAATCATAAAAAGCAGTAAACATAAAGACCTTAAATTTCAAAATCCTAGCACTTCATTTGCCCTGAAAATCCACAAAACTGGATTCTATGGACAGTAAGATCTGTTACATAGTATGTACTCCTGACGTTTCGGTACCAATATGAACCCAATGAGGTTGAAAGCATTCTTATCCCCATAAGCCCTTTTCCCCCTTAGGCTCAGGGATGCTCAGGGTTTCCCATGGATGCTCAGTTACCCCATCCATAAGAGGCAACCTGTTTTTTGAGGAGCTGAACTTAGACCATGAGGCTGAGATCACTTTGCTCCAGGGCAGGGCACAGCTGGTGGTCCAGCTCAGTTCATAAGATCCTTCCACGGTTACCCATTTTTCATGGTCTCCTGTCTCCTTCCCATAGGGTCCCGTGGCGGTGGCAGAAATGCTTATGGACCCCGTGCAGGTGAGTGGAGGGTGTCGCACCTTTCAGCCATCCCGATTGTCACCCAGATAGTTTTGGCATGCTGTGTATATGCCCCCAGGGAGTGGCAGTGGCCTGTCACAGGAGCCTTCTGTCCTCGCTCTCTTGAGCCTGAGGACCATGTGCTTCCCTCAGGCCCGGGATCCTACATTTGGTATTAGATTGTATGTGGAGGGGTTCCCGTTTCTAACAAGTGATGTGGTAAGACGTGGCAGGGAATCCTGGCCGCAGGATTCAGAATGTTCACATGCCTGTAGGTGCGACTTAGCTGGGATGTTGGGGAAACTACAGGTCTCTCATACCTGGTAAGAATGGGACGCCAGGTTGGGGGTAGGTAGGGGTGCACGGGTACCAGACCTTCAGTGACAGCAGGGGTTTGGGGTCTCCAGTCTGAGGTTGGTGGGAAGCAGGGAAGGTTTGAAACAGAAGAGGAAGGTGGTGTGACCCCAGTTTTAACAGGCTCCCTTTGCGGAGTGGAAAACACAGGGGGGAGGGGGTGTGGGTGAAGGTAGGGAGGCCCCGGGCGACAGTGTGGGTGAGTGCTGTGGCTACACGGGAGCGGTGGCTGTGGAAGTGGAGGAGTCGCTGGTTTCTGGGCGTATTTTGAATCAGGGCTGCTCATATTTTGTGATGGAGAGACTCGGGGAGATGAGGAGGTGGGATAGAGGGAAGGGTTGGGGTGCCCGGGTTTTTGGCCTTGTTTGCAAGGATGGGTGCTTCAACTAAAATGGAGGAAGTCAGCTGTATGAGGACTTTCCAGGTGGAATGTGAAGACTTCATTTTTCTCTAGTCTCAGATATTCCAGGGGCCCCAAGGGGAGGGGTCACGTGGGCACTTTGACACGGAGGTCTGGAGCTCCGGGGATAGATTCAGGTTGGAGGCAGCCGCAGTGTGGGGGCTGGGTGTGGGCTCGGAGGAGCTGTGGACCAGCTCCGGGAGGTAGCATCGCTAGGTCGTGGGGGCGATGCCATTAGGGGGGCAGGGATGGGACAAAGGGTGTGGCCTGAGTACGGGGTTCCTTGATTGGGCACCTGGGTGGGGTTCCAGGCCCCCTAAAGCTGAGGAATCGGAGTGTCTGTGTGGGAGTGTGGGTGAGAGACAGAGACAGAACAGAGAGGGAGAGATGGTGGGGTAGGAGCGAGAAAGTCTTCTGAGACCGGCGTGCACATGAGCTAGATGTTAAGGGGGCGGTGGATCAGCTTGAAGAGCTGCCAGACCTAACGTGGATGGGTGTGTGGGTGCGACATGAGTGTCCCTGGCCTTCAAAGGAGACAGGGAGGTTCTGATTACTTATGGGACAGTTGGTTATGGGGCAGTGGGTGGAATAGAGAAGGTGCAGGGGCTGAAGGTATGTGAGGTCCTCACGTGGGCAGGGTGGCTGAGGATGAAGCAAGAAGCAGGGCCTGGCAGGGGGACCTTTAAAGCAAGGCTGGAGGCTGGCCTGGCGCTGGGGGACCTGGGGACTCCCTGTGTTCAGGGGCAGAACCGGGCCTGAATTGGATCCTGGATGCATCTCCATGCACTGCCTGGGTTCCATGTGCAGAATGGCCTCCGGGGAAGTGAAGGAAATGCCAGCGTGGGCCCGGGATGTCTGGGGGGGTGTCTGTGGAGGGGTCAGCGTCGGGAGGGAGAGGAGTCCCAGGAGCGATGTGCAGGTAAAGAGGAGTGTGGATAGCTCCAGGTGCTTAAGGGAAAGGGACGAGTCCGAGTTCACTGGAGAGTCAGACCCAGGGAAACTGGCCAGCGGGAGATGGGGAGAGGCCCACATCGCTGAGCCCACAGGCTCCGTGGGGTCTTCCTCCCTTCATGCTGTGCTCTGAACACGGCGATCAGTGGTAACGAGAGCAGGCGCTCTCGACGTTGGGTCTTCGACGTTGGGAAGTCGGGGAGGAGGGTGAGCAGGGATGGATGTGTGTGGGGGAGGACCGAAGGTCCAGGGGAGAGAAGTGTATCAGGAATGGCACTCACGGGATTTCAGTTCACGGAAGCGGGCGAGCGATGATGTGGAGACCGATGACGCTGAAAGGTTTTTTATTCTATTTGTCGAGGAGGTGGGAGCACACCGTAACACAGGGCCACACGGGAGCATCAGATTTGGTTAGGAGGCATAACCACCAGCAAAGGGAATCATTTTAGCAGAGTTTATTTGACTTTGTGGGAGAAATGCAGGAAGGGTAGGGCGAAAAGCTTAGGGATGGCTATTCTGTATAATTTTAGTGTATCTGGGGTAGAAGAGATGGCCCTGGTTGTCTGGTACCTGGCCCTGGTTGATTGAGGGCGGGGGGCAGGGGTGGTGTTGACTTGTGTGAGTCAGTGAAGGAGGTGGCTCAGAGTGTGGGCTCTGGGTATCAGAGGAGATCCAAACGGATTTGACCGTCAGTTTAGCCCTGTAACTAGTGGATGGCCAATAGATAAATACAGAATTCTCAGGACAAGGACACAGTCAACATAAGAAGCTGTTCATGAGCCAAACCGATCCAATTCTGGCAGAGCCGCGTGGTCTTTGAGGACGTGGCCATACACTTCTCCCAGGAAGAGTGGGGCCTCCTTGATGGAGCTCAGAGACTCCTGTACCGTGCTGTGATGATGGAGAACTTGGCGCTTCTGTCCTCCCTAGGTAAGGCCCTCACACTGAGCCCCGCGTCTTGGGCTGGGCTCTGTTCTGCCCCTTTTCCCCAGGGGTAGCTCTGTCCTTCCCGCAAGACCAAGGGTCCTTCTTCCTCTCCTGGTCTCCTGGCAGGACTGGGCTGTGCGCCCTGCACCCGCTCCTCCCCAGCAGGTCCCAGGGCTCAGAAGTCAGAGATGTTCACGTTTGTCTGAGAGATCCCTCAGGCCTGGCTTGTCCCTGATGTGGTCACTTAGTCTAGATGCTTGGAACCGCAGTGCCCCAGGCTTTCCCCCTTCCTCCTGCTGACATTTCTTGGGTCCTCCTGCCTGTGCCAGGAATGGCAGGCACCAACCTAGTTACTAATTTGAGGGCACGCTGGGTTGTTTCTACAGTGTCTCCTGTGAAGTTCTTGGAATTTTAAGATGTCAGATGTCCTGTGTTGAGTTGCTCTGGTCATGTGCTGGCCATTCCTTTTCCTTTCTTTCACTGAGGCCTGGCCTGTTTCAGGTGCCACATCAGTGCTCACCTTGAGCCATGGGGAGGACCCTGGGTACCTAATAGGCCGGCATTACTACATCAGTGGCAAGAGGCACTCAAAAGCACGTGGCCCTGGTGCCATGGGGCCGGGGAAAGATGTGTGTCAGAGCTGGGAATCTGTCCTTTGTCCACCATCGTTTGGTGTCAGGACAGGCCAGACTTCATTTCTTTTCTTTTCTTTTTTTTTTTTAACATTTATTTATTTTTGAGAGAGAGAGAGAAACAGAGTGCGAGCAGGGCAGGGAGAGGGGGAGGCACAGAATCCGAAGCAGGGTCCAGGCTCTGAGCTGTCAGCATAGAGCCCAACACTGGCTCAAACCCATGAAGTGCAAAATCATGAACTGAACTGAAGTTGAACACTTAGCCAACTGAGCCAACCAGGCGCCCCACCAGACCTCATTTCTACCTTTTCTTTCCCATTTTCACTTCTACTCTGAATTCTGATCCCCTTTCTGCCACAATCCAACACCTGTTAGCCTTCACCTCTAATTCTGTCTCATCACTGCCTTCACAGGCTCTCCAACATCCGACTGTACGTAGGATATTGTGAGGTCTGTGTGTATCCTTAAATAGTTTCGAATTACAGTGTCTCTGTTGTGGTTAGGTAGGTATTTCTAGTCTGTCTACCGTTTCCTACACAGTGCTCACCAGTCACCAGCAGACATAGCCCTTTGCCCAGGAGTGACCTGAATCCCTGCCTCCCCTCCCTACACACCACCTGCTGTGTTTTAAGTGTTTGTGCTCTCACCCCCCACCACTGATTCCTGTGTTGCAAACCTCGTGCCCAGCGTGGTGGTGTTAGGAGATGGCGCCCCGGTCGTGAGGGCAGAGCTCTCATGGGTGGAGTTAGTGCCCTTGTAGAAGAGACCCCACCGACCCCTTAGCCCCTTGAGCTATGTGAGGACACAGTGAGAGGTTGGCAGCCTGGAAGAGGACCCTCACCCCACCATGCCGGCACCCTGATCCAGCCTCCAGGACTGCGAGAAATAAATCGCTATTGTTTATAATAAGCCACCCAGTGTGTGGTGTTTTGTCATAGTAGCCCGCATGGACTTAGACAGCCCCCCACCCCCCTTGTGTCCTTCCCCAGAGTCAGGGCTGTCCCATCGTGGGCACTGGCCAGGCTGAGCTCTGCACAGCGGGCCTTCGTCTCACCGTCTCGAGGCCCCTTGGCCCGTGAGCAGTCCCATGGCTTCATTCGTGGGTGTGTCCGACACCAATTCCCGATGAGGCTGTCTTGTCCCAAAGTCGGCCTGCGATTGACCAGCATTTCTCTGCTTACAGGTTGTTGGCATGGAGCACAGGACGAGGAGGCATCACAGGTCAGGACTCCAAAGCCAGACTCTTCCGTCCAGGAGGCCCAGTGTGAGAAAGACATGTTGCCCTCGGCTGAGCAGGATGGAATGTACTCTGATCGGGAACTATATATTTGTGGGGCAAACCAAAAGGAATGGATTGAAGACCAGTTTTCTAGAAGGGAGGAGGGGAGGCCTTCCTCTGCAACGAACGACAGTGTTCACGTGGCAGAGAGTAGTTGCACGTGCTGCAAAGACGGAAAGGACTTTCCGGCCGGCACAGGCCTGCCCCAGCACCTGACCCCTCGCCGTGCATTGAAACCACACAGGGACCCCGAGTGCGGGGAGGCCTTTGAAAGCGGACAGAGTGATTACAAGTGTATTCAGTGCGGGAAGGCCTTCAGGCAAAAACAGGTACTTGGTGAGCACCAGAAAATCCACACTGGAGTAAGACCTTACGAGTGCAGCAAATGTGGGATGGCCTTCATTAGAAAGTTCCACCTTGTTCAGCACCAGAAAATCCACACTGGAGAAAGGCCTTTTAAGTGCAGTGAATGTGGGAAATTCTTTCGGTATAACTCCACACTCGTTAGTCACCAGAGAGTTCACACTGGATTAAGCCCTTATGAATGTAGCAAATGTGGGGAATTCTTTAAGTACAATGCCAACTTCATGAAACATCAGAAACTTCACAATGGAGAAAGGCCTTATGAATGTAGAGAATGTGGAAAATTCTTTAGGTACAACTATAGACTCATACGACACGAGAGGGTTCATACTGGAGAAAGGCCTTATGAATGCAGCGAATGTGGGAAATTTTTCAGGTACAGCTCCACGTTCATTAGGCATCAGAGAGTTCACACTGCAGAAAAGCCTTATGAGTGCAATGAATGTGGCAAGTTCTTTAGGTACAATTCCACACTCATTAAACATCAGAGGGTTCACACTGGAGAAAGGCCTTATGAGTGCAGGGAATGTGGGAAATTCTTTAGGTACACCTCTACGCTCATTAGACATCAAAGAGTTCACACTGGAGAAAGGCCTTATGAGTGCAGCTTGTGTGGGGAATTCTTTAGGTACAAGTCCAAACTCATGAAACATTGGCAAAATCACACTGGAGAAAGGCCTTATGAGTGCAGCGAATGTGGGAAATCCTTTAAGTACCACTGCAGACTCATTAGACATAAGAGAGTTCACACTGGAGAAAGGCCTTATGAGTGCAGCGTGTGTGGGAAGTTCTTTCGGTACAACTCCAACCTTATTAAACACTGGAGAAATCACACTGGAGAGAGGCCTTATGAGTGCAGCGAATGCGGGAAAGCCTTTAGCCACAAGCATATACTTGTTGAGCATCAGAAAATCCACACTGGAGAAAGGCCGTATGAGTGTGGCAAATGTCAGAAGGCCTTCATTAGAAAGTCCCACCTCGTTCATCACCAGAAAATCCACAATGAAGACAGATCTATGAGCACCATAAATGTGGAGAAGGCTTTAGATACAACTCCAACCCATTAGTGGAGAATTACACTCGTAAAGCAACTTGTAAATGCAGAGAATATGGTGAATCTTTTAGGTACCACTTTAAGCTCATTACCCTGGAGAAGCACCTTAGAAGTACAGTAAAACCTTGGTTTGAGAGTATAATTCCTTCCAGAAACATGCTTGCAATCCGGAGCACCCATATATCAAAGCGAATTTCAAGAACCACTGGCCCAGTTGTGATCATGGGATGTTCGGCGTCACTTACTACTTGTATTGCAAGACGTAGCTCATTTATCAAGTTAAAATTCATGAGAAATATTTGCTAGTCTTGAGCAATAGTTGCAGAACAAGTTACTCACAATCCAAGGTTTTGCTGGGTAGTGAACGTGGGAAATTGTTTTGGTGCAGTTCGCCATTCATTAGACATCAAGAAGTCACTGGAGGAACACCTTGGAGTGTAGTCAGTGTGGTCTTTAGGTGCAACTCCAGCCCCATTCCACTTCAGAGAATTCACAATGGAAGAACATCTTATCTGTGCAACAAATACGGGCGTTTGTTCATCTAAAAGTCCAACCTCTTTTGACCCCAAAAAGTTCACACCAGAGAACATTGCAAAGGGGGAAAGACTTCAGCCAAATACCGGCTCTCATTTATCCCTGGGAACCACTGTAATATAGTTCTTTATTTTACATGTGTGTTGTACACACCTAGCACAGCTTACCCTCTCTCTGTGCACTTAGTAGTGTTAAAAATTTCACACATTTGTGCAACCTATTTCCAGAATTCCTTTCATCTGGCAAAATTGAAACTAGACCCACGAGACAAGCTTCTACCCGCCACCCACCACACCTGGCAGCTATGTTTTTATACTGTGTCTCTATGGATTTGACTGCTCTGGAGACCTCATGTAAGTGGAATCATACGGTATTTGTCTTTTCGTGACTGGCTTATTTTGCTTAGCATAGTTTCCTCATTTGTCAGCATTTCCTTCTGTTTTGAGAAAGAATCAGAGTTAATAAGATATTGGGAAGTGTGTCAATGGAGTCAGTACAGCTTTGCCAGATGTGATATTTCGGGAGGAAGAGGAGATCCAGATTTTATATGGTATCTTTATTTCTTAACAGCTTTATGGAGGTATTGACATACGTTAAACTGCATTTATTGAAGGTGTAGGATATATTTTCATATATGTATGCACAATGGGAGCATTGCCAGAGCCATGATAATGAATAATCCATAACCCCTATGTATAGTTTCCATCGGCCCCTTGTACTCTCTCTCTCCCAGTCCTATGCAACTTGCTATCCCCAGGTGGGCACTGTCATTTGCATTTTCTAGAATTTTATATAAATAGAATCCTACGCTTACTCTTGTATAGCTGTGTTTACTAAGCGCATACATGTATTTTTAGTATTGTCCATGTTGTGTGTGCAGAAGCATGGCACTGGATAACCGGCAAGGCTCTGTGTTATGTATTAGAGCTGCACTGTTCGTAAACAACAAAGGTGCTAATAATCACTGAGTATAAGAGTTGTTTAGAATGGAAAATGAAGTTTAGATAAAATAAATTTAAATTCAGTTTCATATGAATTCATTATCAATAAAAAATCTTGAACCATCTGAAACACCTTTCTTGGAAAATTCTTGTTTGGCTTCTTTTTTTCTAGTAGTGTCTTTAAGCTATATCTTTGTATCATCAAAGTTTCTAAAGCATTTACAAAATTTTTTGTGTAAAGTACACATAAAATTTACTATCTTGCCATTTTTAAGTGTTCAGTTCTGTGGTGTATTGGGCTCTCCAGAGAAGCATCAGGGTGTGTGTGTAGAGAGAGGTGTGGAGGGCTGGGGGTGGATATGTGTTTTAAAGAATTAGCTAAAGCATTTGTGATGGCCCGGCAAGTGGAAAATCTACCGAGCAGGCCAACAGTCTGGGGACCACGGAAGAGTTGCAGTTCAGGTCCAAAGGCAGTCTGCTGGTAGGATTTCTTGCTTGAGGTCATCTTTTCATCATGTAATCTTCAAACCAGGTGGCTCATTGAGAAACTTGAACTTTAGAAAGGGTAACAAACATTATAGAATAGGAAACTGAAAGAAAACAGTTTGGGAGTGATACGTGGGAGGGAAATGATTCAAGACTCCACTCTGTATCTTTCAAACCTCACCATGTACAAAAGAATGCAAAAATTAAGGTAATTATGTACAAATTTATGTTTACATTGAAAATTTTGTTTCATAAAGCTCACGACTATGGAACAACGGAAAAAGTGTGACAGGTACATAATGATGATGCCAGAAGGAAAGAAAGACCAAAAGGAATGGAAGTAATGCTTGAAACAATAGCGACTGAGAATTTCCCCCAAATTTACCCAAATTTAGACATCCAGTTACAGATCTAGGAAGCTAAGAGAACACCAAGCAGGAAAGATGCTAAAAGAAAAAAACTACACCCAGAAATAGTATTTTCAAATAACAGATAATAGAGATAGGAAAAAAAAAAAACCTCTGAAACAAGTCAGAGAAAGGAAACACTTTATTTCTAGAGGAGCAAAGATAACGACATCCAATTTCTCAGAAACCGTGTAAGAGTGGGGTGCAGTATTTAAAGTGTTGAGAGAGGAAAAAAACCACAAATCTAGAACTTTGTACCCCGTGAAGTCATCCTTCAAAAGTGGAGAAGTAAAGAATTTCTCAAGCGAAAATGGAGAGTTTGTTGCTAGTAGACCTGCCTTGAAAGAAATGTTAAAAGTTCTTTAGAGAGAAGGAAAATGGTATATAGCTCAGGATCTCAGATCTACAACGAAAGGAAGAGCATCAGAAAAGGAAGAAGTGAAGGTAAAATAAGAATTGTCTTGGGGCACCTGGGTGGCTCAGTTGGTTGGGTGTCACTTCAACTCGGGTCATGATCTCACAGTCCGTGAGTTCGAGCCCCACATCGGGCTCTGTGCTGACAGCCCATAGCCTGGAGCCTGGAGCCTGCTTCAGATTCTGTGTGTGTGTGTCTCTCTCTGCCCCTCCCCTGCTCATGCTCTGTTTCTGTCTCAAAAATAAATAACATTTTGGAGCGCCTGGGTGGCGCAGTCGGTTAAGCGTCCGACTTCAGCCAGGTCACGATCTCACGGTCCGTGAGTTGAGCCCCAGCGTCGGCTCTGGGCTGATGGCTGGGAGCCTGGAGCCTGTTCCGATTCTGTCTCCCTCTCCTCTCTGCCCCTCCCCCGTTCATGCTCTGTCTCTCTCTGTCCCATAAATAAGAAAAAAAAAATAAATATGTGGGTTGGCTTCATGAACTCTTCCACTTTCAGAGCTGCTTGGGGTGGCACTGCCACTGTCTATCCGAGAAGCCATCCTCTTTTACCAGGTGTCAGGGAGCCCAGCAGATTGCTGTGCTCTCTTCATCTGGAGTAGTCACCAGGGTTGGGGAGGCCTCATTCCTTACACCTTACCTCCTATCAGTTTGGGGGGGACATCACCCATCTTTGGACAAGGGTACTTGAGCTGGCTTCACCTCCCAGCTCACAGAGGTTTCCCAACGTTTCCCTTCTTTGGGGGCATTGTCTCTGACTGTCTCATGAGACTTGTAATGGATTTTTCTAGCCACTAGGTTACCCAACACAGGAACTCCCTGGTCACCCCACTGGCTTTTGTGATAATAAAAGTCTTACTCTTTTTTTTTTTTTTTTTTAATGTTTATTTACTCTTGATGAGAGAGAAAGAGCATGAGGGAGGGAGGGGCAGAGAGAGAGGGAGACACAGAATCCAAAGCAGGCTCCAGGCTCTGAGCTACACCACAAGATCATGACCTGAGCCAAAGTCAGACACTTAACCAACTGAGCCAACCAGGTGCCCCTAAAAGTATTCTTTAAACTATATTTACTGTATTCGCTGTGGATGAGAACAGAATTGGACTCGGATGGAATGAAAGAATGAACGGGTTTTGGGGGGGCCTCTCTTTTGTGTGTTTCAGAGGGAATAGGAGGATAAAGAAGAACTCTCAGTCCAGATTTGGTTCAATTTGCATTGCTACATGATGCATCCCGGGAAAGTTTATAGGACTTCTGTACTCGGGGTGCAAAGAATATCTGTAGTTATCCAGTCTGCTAGTCTATTCGAGGGTGGGGTAGGGCAGTCACCCTGGCAATCCTTGCATTCAGCAGCAGCATGAGTTGGGTCATTTGTACTCAGAGGCTGTCCCATATTCCAGGCATTGCTGAGGAATATAGCTCCTCAGTCTCCCCTGACTTACAGGCACTTACGGGGTATTTGTTATGATGTACAGATACCTCAAGTGCAAAGCTATGTCTTCACAGCTTCATTGAAGCTGGTATTTCTCAGTGATTTTTAAATACGATAAAAAGAAGTCCCGATTTAGTCATAACCTCTGATTTCCTTTGTAAGCCTGTGGTCACCTTAATTCCCTCACTTCTCAGACTTCAGTGAGATCTAACCTCGTGCAGATGGCCAAGAGCTATTTTGGCCACGGGTGAATAGCTACATCATCATTGATTTCAGTAGTTTCATTTCTTCTGGGATAGTCTCAAGTGCCCATGCATTGTCACTGCAGTCGCACGTGGAATTATATTTACTTCCCAGCAAGGAAAAAAGATCACAAAATCCAATCCTGCCGCTTCTCTGTCTCCGTCTCCGTGTTCAGAAGCCCGCTGTCCCAATGTGGTAAGTCGCTCCCACTTTTGAGATAGGGTGTTAAATTCTAAAAAAGAATGGAATGCATGGAGTTAAGAGTTGGACATCACTAGCCCTTTTTTTCTAACAGTGAAACTCCTACAATTGATTCTAAAGTTTCAGTCTAACATGAAAAGCAGTAAGATGGTATTTTAGATCCCAGCTCTGGGTGGAGGTACTTTATGTCTGAGTGACAATTGGGTTTGCACTTTGGGGAACATCTGAAATAATTTCTGTGATCAGACATTCCATGAAAATCTGGGTGTGACCCCCTCCAAGAAGCCGGAGCCCCCCTCAGAACGTTC